GCCAGCCCCTCCCCCCCGAGCCGGCCCGGCCCGGCCCTTTCTGCACAATGACTGGGCAGCAGATGGGCACTCGAGGGCTTTCCGTTCCTTTTCAAGCAAACCATTTGTTGGGCCGCCCCTGGGTGCCGCGCACCGTGCCAAGCGCCGAGATTCGGTGGTGGACTTCTCAGCTGTAATTCCAGGGCCAGGCTTGAGGACTGACTGCAAAGGCATTTTGCGGGGCAAGGCGGGGTGGGAGTGGGGACACAATCTTATTTGAAAGCCAGGGGCCTGTTAACCACTGTCTTGCAGTTCAAAGTGCCCAAGATCTGTGTGTGGCACATGCTCTGGCCTTCCTTACCCAGCTCTGTGATCTGGACCCAGACCCAGGGTTTCCAAGTGTCACCTCATGTCACAGATCCCACTTTAACACAAGAGGAAGATTCATGCTTCAGGGCCCAGTGTCTTTCAGGAATTCTGGGTATATTCATTTTCTATTGGTGTGTAACAAATGACCACAAATTTGGCAGCTTACAACAACACATCTCACAGGTCCTAAGTCAGGAGCTTCCGCACAGCTTAGCTGAGTCCTTACAGTCTCAGAAGGTTACAATCAAGGTAAGGTGTCAGCCAGGCTGCATTCTCCCCTGGAGACTCAATTGGGGAAGAATCCACTCACAAGCCCATTCAGGTTGTTGGCAAAACTGATTTCCTTGCGAATGTATGACTGAGGGCCTGTAATTTTTGCTGGCTGTCAACTGGAGGCGCCCCTCAGCCATCTGCAGTTCCTGGAGGTTACACAGTTCCTTGCCATGTGGGCCTCTCCAGCATGGCGCTTACTTCATCAAGCCCACAAGGAAAGTCTTAGCTCGAGGTGCCAAGACAGAGTTTTATATAATGCAACTTATTCTATTATACAGTTGACCCTTGAACACCGTGGGTTTGAACTACCTTGGTCTGTTTATACACAGATTTTTTTTTTCAATAAGTACCTGTATTTTTTTTCTTCTACAATTGGGAGTCCACGATGGGAGGGCTGACTATATGCATTGATGTGCACCGTTTCTATAGGGGACTTGAGCATCTTCGGATTTTGGTATCTGCCTGGGTCCTGGAACCATTTCCCCATGGAACCGAGAGAGTTAAAAGTTAAACATGGATTTTTGGCTGCATGGGGGTCAGGACCCTCAACCCCTGCATTGTTCAAGATTCAACTATATATGTAATGGGAGCAACATCCCATCACTTTTGCCATATTCTTTAGGTTAGAAGAAAGTCACAGGTCTCACTTTAACACACGAGGAGAGGATTACACAGAGGTGTGAATATGAGGAGGCAGGGATCACTGGGGGTCATCTTAGGGTCTGTCCACCAGACTGGGGTTATTGGAAAACCTAAGGAAAAGTATAGGAAGAGGGCTGGAACTAGGGTAGGAAAGAGTAAGAAAGGAAGTCAAATTACACAATGGGAAGGGGTAGAAAGGCAACAACAATAACCTCAAGGAACACTAATTGGTACACATGCCCAAGGCCACCCAGGGATGCCCTTGGTGCCAAAGATTCTCAATTTGATGAACCCTATCTTGGAGTGAACCAAATTGTGGGCTTCCTCCCCTCTCACTTGTTGGCTACGGAACTAAGTTACAAAACTGGACATACTGGTTCCAGTATACATTCCTGCTGTCCCACCTCAAGTGGGTCCTCTTTAAACTCTAAATCTTTTCTTGTTCCTTGTCACTTTGTACAAACCAACTTGATTTTCAGCTTCCCTCCTCTCTACCTCATCATTTCTATTTGAATCTATCCTTTCCTCTTATCTTAAATATGTGGACCTCCCTCTGCCTGTGGCCAACCCTCCACTCATGTCTTATCTCTTCCTGTTCATTGAGACTGCAAACACATACTCAATTCTCCTCTATCAATTAAAAAGCAAAACTAAAAAACCAACAACAGCTCGGCCGGTGTGTCTCAGTGGTTGAGCGTCAACCCATGCACCAAGAGGTCACCAGTTTGATTTCTGGTCAGGGCACATGCTCCGGGGCTGAATTCCCAGCAGAAGACATGCAGGAAACAGCCAATCGATGTTAATGTATCGATGTTTCTATCTCTCTCTCCCTCTCCCTTCCTCTCTCAATAAAATCAATAAAAACATATTTTAAAAACAATGACAGAAACAGCTTCCCATGTTTGGCTACCTCCTTACTCTAGCTTCAGGTTTATCTTTTTCTCTCTCATTAGAGTCACATTAAAGAGCAACTACCACTTCCTGGTCACCTATTCATTCCTTAACTTCATATAATTTGGCCTGTCTACATCACTCTCCTAAAACTTCCACCTTAAATGTCCCTAGTGATGCATTTATTTATTTTTTTTTACATTTTTATTGATTTCAGAGAGGAAGGGTGAGGGATAGAGAGATAGAAACATTAATGATGAGAGAGAATCACTGATCGGCTGCCTCCTGCACACCCCCTACTGGGGATCAAGCCTGCAATCCAGTCATGTCCCCTTGGCCGGAATCGAACCTGGTACCCTTCAGTCCGCAGGCTGATTCTCTATCCACTGAGCCAAACTGCCTACGGCACTAGGGATGCATTTTGTATGGCATTCTTTTTTTTTTTAATATTTTTATTGATTTCAGAGAGGAAGAGAGGGATAGAGAGATAGAAACATCAATGATGAGAGAGAATCACTGATCGGCTGCCTCCTGCATGCCCCCCACTGGGGATCAAGCCCGCAACCCAGGCATGTGCCCTTGGCCAGAATCGAACCCGGGACCCCTCAGTCTGCAGGCCGACGCTCTATCCATTGAGCCAAACCAGCTAGGGCTTGTATGGCATTCTTACCTATTTATACCAGTAAGAGAGTTCCCAGACTCTCTTATAAATAGGTATGGCCAAGGGACTGAATTCTGGCTAATAGAATATGAGTGGAAGTGACAGGCTGGCCCATAAAACTCCCGAGTGCTCATCCTTGCTCTCCCTCCCATCTGCTAGCAGAATAGAGGAGACTCTAAGGACCTAAAGAAAGTCAACCAGATGCTCCCATTCCAAGTTTCAGGGTCCCACTCCTTCTCAATCACAGAAGACTTATTAAGACTGAGTTAAACGGATATAACTGCACCATGCATAATTTTTGTTTGTTTTATTTGTAGCAAATAAGTCTTGTGGCTACAAGAAATAAGAGATTATTTTATGGCTATCATGGAAGCTTTTTGATTCTCTTACCATGATTTGAGTGGGGAGTTTAAAGAGCCAAATTTGTCATTTTCTGCAAGGACTCATGCATTCAGAATTCCTCCCATATCAAGTCCCTGTAGTCATCATCACTGCCACAACAGTCAACTGCAACAACCATTTGGGCCCCCAAGGCATTTGCTTTAGTTAACACTTCATCACAAATAACCCCGGGTGATAATTTGATTAATCATGATGCCACAGCATGCCATGGATTAGTAGCATCACATTTCTCATTGGCAAGGAGCTTACTTAGCACATTCAAACTCAATGACACAACCAAGCCAGTTCCCTAATCCTATCTTTCGAAGTCTATATCCTGGGACCACTACTAGTACCAATTTCTTTTTTTTTTTAATGCTGTGTGTGTTTTTAAAAATATTTTTTTATTGATTTCAGAGAGGAAGGGAGAGGGAGAGAGATAGAAACATCAATGATGAGAATCATTGATCAGCTGCCTCCTGCACGCCCCTTACTGGGGCTCGACCCTGAAACCCAGGCATGTGCTCTTGACCGAATTGAACCTGGGACCCTTCAGTCCGCAGGCCGACGCTCTATCCACGGAGCCAAATCGGCCAGGGCAAGAGCCCAATTTTTATAGCAGTCAGGGTCCAGCCAATGAGACAGTAATCACACCATTCACTGGACAGAGAGAATTTACTATAAGGAGTGGTTAGAATGGTTAACTAAATATAGAGTTGTTAACTAGATAACTGAAAGGGTAAAAAGAAAACTCTGGAAGCATCTATAATTCCTAGAACTAGGAGAGCAAAGGAAAGAGTTTGGAATTACTAAAACTTAGACACTTAGAAAAGGGGCTCTACAGAGCTGAAAGTCAGACTTCCAAGTCTGATGCTGGTGTCTCTGAACTTGGAAGAGGGACCGACACCTCTGAGGAAAGGGGTGCTACCCAGTTGATGCTGGTGTCTCTGAGTGGGACACTATGAAGCTGGTTCTGCAATTGTTGGGAGGAAAACTGCAAAGTGGAATCAGCGCCCGCTACAGGAAGGAACTGCCACGGCCAGGGTGAAGGAGCATTGCTAGGGTTACTTCACAGGACAGGAAGCAAACAGGAGTCCTTTCTTCCGCCTCCCGCCTCACTATCTCCCTCTCGTGGCCATCATTGGCAGAGCCAGCTGACAAAGCAGAAATGTGATTTGCAGAATCCCAGCTCCAGTAACTCATAGCAGAAAGTAGGACGGTGGGTTTGGAACTGAAAGACAATAGCTGAATAACTAGCACAGGTTCCTTTATGAAGTATATGAAAGAAGAGATGGACTTAGGTGATAATTAGCTGGAATTCAAGCAAACATGGAAGGGAAATACAGTGTGGGGCAAAAGTAGGTTTACAGTTGTAAGTACATGGATCCACACAGTTTATCCTTGTATTATTATTGTTTATTAATTATTGTATTATTTTCCGTATGATTAACTGTAAACCTACTTTTGCTCCACCCTGTAGAGAAAGTCTAGAGGTGATGGGCCTTTCAGGGTGGGAAAAGCTGACTGATTCTGGATAACAAATAATATAAGATTGAAAAAAGGTCTTAGCCTTGGCTGATGTGGCTCAGTTGGTTGGGTGTCGTCCCATGCACCAAAAGGTTACCTGTTCGGTTCCCAATCAGGGTACATACCCAGGTTGCAGGCTCAATTCCTGGTAGGGGGCATGCAGACAATCAATGTTTCCCTCTCACATTGATGTTTCTCTCTCTCTCCCCATCCCTTCTTCTCTCTCTAAAAAATCAATAAAAAATCCTTTTTAAAAAAATAAAAAATGTCTTGAACCACAGAAATTGAAAGATGTGTCATCTCTAAGGCAATTACCTGGTGAAGAGCATGGCCTTCCCGCTTATTTCACACAGCTTTAATGTAGCTATCATTACATTGAGAGTCAGGCAAGGGGGTGAAGAAGCAAATAAATATATTAGGTTGAGAATTATATCTAGGAAAGAACTTGAGTGTGGTTAGTCTCACATGAATATGACTACAAGCAAATAGA